TTTATTATATGTTCATAAATTAAAAAATATAATTTCTATATATGTTTATAAATTATTGAAACTAAATATGTCATTGAGATTTTAAACAAATATATCAGACATCATCGAATGAAATTGACAAGAAATCTTGAAAAATCTGTCACTTGAGATATTTACCAAAGATTACAAAGAAATATTTAGAAATTATTCTATGCTACTAGGGATACAATCGGTAGGTACTGATTTCATTTTATTTCATACCCTAATTCGGATGAATTCGATTAATTCATAATTAACTAGTAAACTTACGTCTATCTGTGGTGGTAAATTTTGCCAAGCCAATGATTGTTCATATTTTGGATATAACCGAATTCCAACTGCAAGAAAATCTGCCTTCCGTAGCGGATTATCGACGTTCCTGAAATTGTTTCTTAAATTGATTATTGGTATTATTACAATACATTTGTATATGAAAAAATACTTAATTTCGATACGTCTATAATTTACCGCATTACCTTGTTAATTGTTCCTTCTCAAATTTTTTTGACGCTATTATGTTACCCTTAGTGCGTCCTGTTAATGACGAAACCGAACCACTACCGGCAACGATCCAGTCCACATCGGGACCTGCAAAATTTATTATCAAATCGTTATCATAATATATGTACATTATAATAAGTAATCGAATGTTCAATATTTTGTAGAGGGAGAAACTAATTTGTGCAAAAATTATTTCGCTGCTTTTGAAAAAGAACCCCGCTGAAAGAGCAGACAGACACGAACAGAATTTGTATGTACACACTTTTTAGTTTAGTTAGAAGTATAAACTTCTAAACGTTTTTACCGCAATTTTGGACAGAAACAAATAGAAGAAACCTAAACTGACAGGTCTATTCGTTTCTGAACGTGTACAAAATATGGCTAACAAGGAAGGTACCTGAGGTGTCCCCCTCCGATTTTGTCCATTTTTAAATATGTTATAGAGCACTAAAATCTAAGGGACCCGTGTTTTTTTTTTTTTTATTGGCGGATAAACACTTTTAGGGGGTGAAATCAGACTTCAAAGTTTGCTGTGCAAGGGGGTGAGTTGGCTGTTTCATATAGAAGCACTCGACCGATTTTCCTGAAACAACCGTCAAAATGTAGGGAATGAAGAATTATGAAACGTGCATTTGGAATTTTTCGACAAAATTCATTTTTAAGGGGTGAGCCACCCCTTTGAATACTTCTTTTACCCCTTACGCGAGCAGTAACTGCTCTATGCAAATGAAACTTGGTTAATTTATAGACCAGAACAATACAAAAAAAGCATATTTTGTTTTTTTTTCGAGAAACGAACTTTAAGGGTTGTAACAACCCTTTAGTTTTGTTCTGCTCTATAAACTAACCAAGTTTCATTTGGATAGAGCAATTACTGCTCGCGTACGGGGTAAAAGAAGTATTCAAAGGGGTGGCTCACCCCTTAAAAATGAATTTTTTCGAAAAGTTCCAAATGCATGTTTCATCATCCTTCATTCCCTACATTTTGACGGTTGTTTCATGAAAATCGGTCGAGTGCTTCTATATGAAACAGCAAACTCACCCCCTTGCACGGCCAACTTTGAAGCCTGATTTCACCCCCTAAAAGTGTTTATCCGCCGATAAAAAAAAAACGCGGGTCTCTTAGATTTTAGTCCTCTAGTAGTTTAGTATAACATATTTAAAAATGAACAAAATCCTTGTAAGTAATGACTTAAAGAAATGTGAGAGTGCGGCAACCTGCAAACCTGCGTGTCCAAAATACTGATTACTGAAATGGACAGCATTCTCTGTCTTCCATATCTTTCTATTCGTTCTTTTTATTAGGGAAATGCTCTCATTGAAGGACAGTAACCGTAAATCATCCCGTGAAACCCATTATTTATGCATAAATAATGAACATTTAGTAAAGAAATTATTAAAAGCATCAATTACTAATATTTCTCCTCCTCCTCTTCTCAGAAAATGAAATTTTTTACACGTTACTTCTTCTGGAATTCCAAGAACGCGCTACTTATAAAACCGCTGGTATGTTTGTACACTTTTAATTGAATTTTACCAGTCGCAGTTTGTACAGCAGGCGAGATTTGCAATCCATAGACCACCAGTCCGTCGGCAGAGACCAAAGGTAGGGATTTCCTGCTCAGTCGAGCTCTGATTGCAGCGACCATTTCTTCGCCAACTTGTCGTCCTTTCGCCGCCCATTTTCCAGTCTTTAAGATCTTCTAGATTAATTAAATAAAATTTACCTACTCACTGCTAACTTTCTCTTTCTCTATACTATAATTACGGGAGCTTTTAAGGGGGTATTATAGTTTAGAAACTTCAAAACTTCCATTCTTTTTTGCATCTTCTTATAGTTTGGGATTCTGAGAATGTCTCGAAAATATTAATTTGAAATTCGTGTAGAACTCCTATAGTTACAGAGGCTTAAGGTGAAGTGAAACCCCCTTCAAATCCGTCGATACGAAGACAACACTTTTTTTTAAGGGTAGTAGACCAAACTGTCCGAAACTTTGACACATCACTCCTGATCATCTAAAATTGTCCTGACACATTCAAAAATTGGATTTTTGGAAACAATTTTTTAACAGTTCAGACCAGAATCAAAATGGCGTCGAGCTCTCATATTTCGATCAATATACAATTATCGAAGGCTCTGATATGAGAAACGAAAGGGTCAGGACAATTTTACGACAACTTAGAACACTCTGGTAGTCGATAAACTCGCATTTGAACGGGATAAATACAAAAAAAATGTTGTATGCGCTTCTATGCCAAAACGATGGGAATACGAGGTCTCGGAGTGAAAATTTAATTGTCCTGGAAATCACAGATGGCGCAGGGGGTCCCTCTGTATTCAATTAGGGCTCCAAAAAGCATGAATCCAGAGGATTTCTGGAGTTTTACTTCGATTTCTTTGTAATTATTGTAGGAAAACGACTGGTGGAGTATGCCATTTGGTACAATATCCAATATAATTCAACACAGCTGTTAATATAAAAACGAACGTCGGCAACGTAGGCATTTAGAAAAATCTTCTTTATCGACGTCGATCAAGTTCCTCGACGTGTTTCACTTCACCTTAATATGCGTCAAAAACCCCGGCACTGTAGGTTTAATAGTTTTCGCAAAATTAATTTCTAAAAATTACTTAAAAAACAAGCTTCTAGACGATAATACCTCCTTACCCAGTTAACTGTGTCGACCTATTTGAAACGAGTGTTTTCATGACGAGTATACTCGTCAAACACAGCTAACTGGTTAAAAATTGGAAAAAAATTACTGACGTCGGGATCGTCCACTTGTGCAAGAACTGCCAGCAAATCCAGAGCTGCCTGTCGCACTCTTCTACGTTTATCGCCAACCATGGATACAACTTTGGGTGTGATATTTTCGATTTTGAATTTCGAGCTCGGAAATGTGATCAGCGAGAAGATCATTAGTTGCAAGGCATTCTCTCTGGTCTGCAAAGAAAAAAACGGAGTTAGAACATTAGAGATCTGTCTAAATTAGGAGTCTTCTACTGAACTACTACATATTGAACTAAAGCTAGTAATGCGGTCCAGCAAGATTGTAAAATATTAATCGCATCACTCAACGCTACGAGTTTCTCGCTCAGATATGTATTTGGCGTGAAACTACCGAGTTTTTTAAGTTTCAGTAAACATGTTGAGCAAACGTACCCATTCAGCAGATGAGCGCTAACCGATCACTCAACAGTTGTCTTTTCTGAATGCAACCAATGTTGCCTTTTTTACAATGACTCAATGGGTGCATTCAGAGGAGTAAAGCGGTTACCGATGAGTTGGGAACATGTTGCGATTTTTGCTGAAATTGCGATCTGATTGGTCTGATCAGTAAACATGTTGAGTGAACGTACCCATTCAGCACATGAGCGCTAACCGATCACTCAACAGTTGTCTCCTCTGAATGCACCCAATGAAGTTGCCTTTTTTTACAATGTTGTACATGACATGGGTGCATTCAGAGGAGAAAAGCGGTTACCGAGTTGGGAACATGTTCCCAACATGTTGCGATTTTTGCTGAAATTGCGATCTGATTGGCCTGATCAGGAAACATGTTGAGTGAACGTACCCATTCAGCACATGAGCGCTAACCGATCTCTCAACAGTTGTCTCCTCTGAATGCACCCAATGAAGTAGTCTTTTTTAGGTCACGGATGGTTTTGTGGTGGTTGTATAAGATCCAGTGTTCTATCGGGGTATGAAATATGTTATACCTTAGCGTTTCTTGCCCCGATGCAGTGTGGTTGTAGCCATTGTTCCAGAAGCAGAGCAGGGCGTAATTTAAGCATTACGATCCTTGCTAATTGCGCTGCACTCGTTCCACCTTGTCGTGCCAGACCGCCGGCAATTTCTGGCAACGAACGCTTAAGAGCCTCCACGGAAACACCGTTTAAGACAATCTGTGAGAAATACGTATGAAAAATTCACTTCATGAGGTTTAAATTTTAATACAATTTTTTTCCACATCGTTGTATCAATACTTTTAATGAAGAGGCTGAATACTTTTAAGCTTTTCACTTCTGGTAAAGCCCCAGAAGGGTAAATTGCTTTTCAAGGCGATTAGGATCTCCCATGAAGTACTAATCGTGCATGCGTGACTTTCCGCTCTTGACAATCGAAATACCAATGCCGCTTGTATAAGGAGAAGTGAAACCCCCTCAGATCAGTCGATCCGAATGAGACACTTTTTTTTAAGTGTATTGAACCGAACCGTCTGAAACTTTGACACATGACTCGTGAGCACTTAGGAATTATCCTGACACTTTCAACATTAGAATTCTCGAACAGAATTGTTTAACTTACAAGGAAGGTACCTGAGGTGTCCCCCTCCGATTTTGTTCATTTCTAAATGTGTTATAGAGGACTAAAATCTAAGGGACCCGTGTTTTTTTTATCGGCGGATAAACACTTTTAGGGGGTGAAATCAGGCTTCAAAGTTGGCCGTGCAAGGGGGTGAATCGGTTGTTTCATATAGAAGCACTCGACCGATTATCTCGATCTTAAATTAGATCGAAAACCGAATTTCGAAGAGGACCGAATGATGCGGCTACCGAAGTCACAATGAATCTAACAGTGCGCAGAACTGTGCAACTAATGCATGTCACGACCCAAATGCTTCTCGCGCTGTGTCTTAAACGCACAATAGGAACAATAACAGTTCACACTTGTAAGAAACACTAGTGCTACGGTATATTTTACGGTTTTCAATAGAGTTCTTGTTTTTAAATTTTACAACTGTGATGGTCATTTTAACACGTGCCTTTATACGTGTAATTTTTACTTTCCAATGTTATACATGTAACACTGTCGGATGCAAATATAACTACAATATGTTTACAAGAATTCTGCAGTTGCTGCTACAGCCGCAATGGTTAATAGGACAAAAAGTTGTAATTATATCTACAATAATTGTTGTTAAGGTTACAACGATACCGCGAGCATATGTAATGAGTACAATATTATTTTTCTGCGTGTACGTAACATCGGATATATCCGACACTCCTATCGAAAGGGTTAAGGTGAAGTGAAGCCCCCTTCAAATCAGTCGATTCGAATACAACACTTTTTTTTAAGGGTATTAGACCAAACTGTCGGAAACTTTGACACATCACTCCTGATCATCTAAGAATTGTCCTGACACATTCAAAATTTGGATTTTTCAAACAATTTGTTTAACTCAGTCCAGACCAGAACCAAAATGGCCTCGCGCTCTCATATTTCGATCAATATACAATTATCGAAGGCTCTGATATGAGAATCAAAAGGGTTAGGACAATTTTACGACACTTTAGAACAATCTGGTAATCGATAAACTCGCATTTGAACGGAATAAAGGCAAAAAAAGTGTTGTATGCGCTTTTTTGCTAAAACGATGGTAATACGAGGTCTCGGAGGGAAAATTTAATTGGCCTGGAAATCACAGATGGCGCAGGGGGTCCCTCTGCAGTCAATTAGGGCCCCAGAAAGCACGAATCCAGAAGATTTCTGGAGTTTTACTTCGATTTATTGATATTTATTGTATGAAATCGACAGGTGGAGTATGCCATTTGGTACAATACCCAATATAATTCGACGCAGCTGTCGATATAAAAACGAACGTCGGCAACGTAGGTATTTAGAAAAATCTTCTTTGTCGACGTCGATCAAGTTCCTCGAGGTGTTTCACTTCACCTTAATCTTTTCACTGCAGCAGAATTGGTTGCTAGTCCGAGACAATTGAGCCCCAAGTTTGCACTTCAGCACAAAATAAACGAAATGTAACATGCGCTATATTGTCATATTATGCGAATTGTTGGTATTCTCTTCAAGTTTGTTTGATCGTTAAAACATTATGAATTAAAGCCAAGTACATTTGCGCACATGAATGCTTTCCCTGCACATATGGCGCCGCCAGTGTACAACGAGAAGGCATTTATGTCAGTCATTGTACGTGCCAGTTTGTTTAAGGTGAAATGAAACCCCCTCCAAATCAGTCAATTCGAATACAACACTTTTTTTTAAGGGTATTAGACCAAACTGTCGGAAACTTTGACACATCACTCCTGATCATCTAAGAATTGTCCTGACACATTCAAAATTTGAATTTTTTAAAAAAATTTTTTAACTCAGCCCAGACCAGAACCAAAATGGCGTCGAGCTCTCATATTTCGATCAATATACAATTATCGAAGGCTCTGATATGAGAATCGAAAGGGTCAGGACAATTTTACGACAATTTAGAACAATCTGGTAATCGATAAACTCGCATTTGAACGGAATAAAGGCAAAAAAAGTGTTGTATGCGCTTCTTTGCTAAAACGATGGGAATACGAGGTCTCGGAGTGAAAATTTAATTGACCTGGAAATCACAGATGGCGCAGGGAGTCCCTTTGCAGTCAATTAGGGCCCCAGAAAGCACGAATCCAGAAGATTTCTGGAGTTTTACTTCGATTTATTGATATTTATTGTACGAAAACGACAGGTGGAGTATGCCATTTGGTACAATACCCAATATAATTCGACGCAGCTGTCAATATAAAAACCAACGTCAGCAACGTAGGTATTTAGAAAAACCTTCTTTGTCGACGTCGATCAAGTTCCTCGAGGTGTTTCACTTCACCTTAAGTATACGAAATTTCAAGTGCTCACTTTAAATCGTTTATTTAAATTTTCTTGGCATGTATGGCTAGGACCTAGTTTTAAATTGTTCATTTCTCTGACAATGAGTGCGTTTGATGATCATAGTTCAAGACGAAATGTAATAAAAATTACCTTTGCCACTTCCAAACCTGCTGCAGCGACTCGACAACTTCTTTCACCTCCAAGAACGGCATGTAATAAAGATCCGAGTCTGGATTCGACAATTATCAGTGCCGAAGATGTTCTCAGGACTGCCGAAATTCTTTCCAAGCTTCTCACTCTAGCCGTCCAGTCTTCCTGTTAAATCCATGTAAATCACTTAAATTATTGCAATAAATTAACGCAAAAATAATATTTCTGTAATTTTACACCTCCATTCAAATTTCCATTCGTTTTGAAAGTTGGTATTGTAAAAAACAATTGTTCGGTAATTAACTGTAATCTCTTACTCAAGTCAGTTACGGATGACTTAGGAAATTGTTTAACCGTACTCCGTTAATAAAATATAAATAAATCTTGCGATGGTAATTACAAGTGCAGCTGATAAACGTGTTGATTTAGATTGTAATTATTCAAATTTACCTACACTGAAAAAATCGATGGAAATTTAGATACATTTTTTCACACTGCATAACTGAAGTTTTATGTAAAAGAGCGTAAAAGGGAAAAATTACAAACCAGAAAATGTATGAATGCACGTGACATTGTATATGTACTGCATTAGTGCCTTTCTACTTCAGGTGAATGAAACAGTATATTGTAATTTTTTTTCGTGGCATGTAAAACCTTTACCATGTATGTAAATCTACAGGTCACCTATTAAGGTGAAGTGAAACTCGCTTCAGATCAGTCGATTCGAATACAACACTTTTTTTTAAGGGCATTAGACCAAACTGTCCGAAACTTTGACACATAACTCCTGATCATCTAAGAATTGTCCTGACACATTCCAAATTTGGGTTTATTAGAAAAATTTTTAACCTCAGCCCATATAATCAGGATTTAAATCCAGGATTTTAAAACTTTTATTCTCATTCATTGATGTCTTATAGAAAATTTTATATTGTCCATTTCTGACAAAACGCATCCAACATATTTTTAACCAGTTTATCGATTCTCCATTAGAATTCTTTACCCTTTTAAAAATTGCGTCTTCTGATAATTTGGTTCATACAAAATCCTCTTGTTTCATTTCATTTAGAATAAAGTTATTGCCTCTTCGGCAATTTTTGATAATATTATAATAATCTTGGGGGACAAACAGTAAATTATTTTCTTTTAATGACATTTCTCCCACGCCAAAATCTCTATAATTTGTTAAAAACGAATGTCCCGGTATTAAAAATGTATGATTTATGATTTCCACATTATGTTAAACAGTTTGGACAATTTTTAGCCACATTAAAGCTACTTTAACGTTTATATTTTGCCCTGCACACATGTCACTGTAAGCTATAATGTGTCTTTCACTTATTAAATTTTTAAGGTGAAGTGAAACACGTCGAGGAACGTGATCAACGTCAATAAAGATTTTTCTAAATGCCTATTTTGCCAACGTTGGTTTTTACATCGACAGCTGTATCGAATTATATTGGGTATTGTACCAAATGACGTACTCCATCTGTCGTTTTCGTACAATAAATATCAAGAAATCGAAGTAAAACTCCAGAAATCCTCTAGATTCATGCTTTGTGGGGCCCTAATTGACTGCAGAGGGACCCCCTGCGCCATCTGTGATTTCCAGGTCAATTAAATCTTCACTCCGAGATCTCGTATTTTCATCGTTTTGGCATAGAAGCGCATACAACACTTTTTTTGCCTTTATCCCGTTCAAATGCGAGTTTATCGATTACCAGAGTGTTCTAAATTGTCGTAAAATTGTCCTGACCCTTTGGATTCTCATATCAGAGCCTTTGATAATTGTATATTGATCGAAATATGAGAGCTCGACGCCATTTTGGTTTTGATCTGGGCTGAGTTAAAAAATAAAAAAAAAAATCCAAATTTTGAATGTGTCAGGACAATTCTTAGATGATCAGGATTGACGGGTCAAAGTTTCGGACAGTTTGGTCTAATACCCTTAAAAAGAAGTGTTGTATTAGAATCGACTGATTTGAAGGGGGTTTCACTTCACCTTAACCTCCTCCGGACACTTGAACGTATATACATACTATAGTAATGTCTCCTATATTTTTATAAACTCTAGAAGTACACTGTGACTGGCCGGCCAAAAAAGTGGTACAATAACAATCCTTGTCTCCTTTACATCATGCTCTCATTGCTCCCGCTGGTTGAAAGGGGCCACTTTCCGGAAGCTCTATAGGCAGGGAAAGTCACATTTTCCCCTGGGAATTTTGCAAAAATGATATAACATAAAATATTCAGTGTTTATTATCTTACTTTGTCATGCAAATCGTCCAGGACTTCCTGATCCACGAGTCCCAGTTCTTCCCAGCTAGGTTCCTGCAGTTTCCCTTCGCTTTCGCTGCTGCTGCACGTAAGACTTCCGTCTGCATATGAAATGACGACTTTTCCAGAATGTACGCGTGAGTTTTCCACAATTATCTTTTCTTCCGGCACATCAACGATTTTCATGGGTTTCTCACTCATAGAAGCAGTTTTTCCACATTTCACTTCAGCTCCAACTGGTACAACCTCTCCTTCCAATGTCAACTTTCCGAAATCCACCTTCTCATCGACTTCTTCTCCCTTCTTAACCATTAATTTTGTTTCATTGTACATGTTTGATGAAGGAAAGTAAGTCTCGGGAGTTGCCAATTGATTGTTCTCTTCCAAGGGTTTGTCTTGCCTTGTCAAATTATCGGCAAGTTCCCCCAGCTGATTGGTACTGCTTGGCGTGAAGACTTGATTCGTAACTTTGTCATATTGATTCTGATTTTCTTCGACGGAAAATTGGTTTACAATTTCTCCAAATTGTTCAGCCTCGGTGACAAATGAAACGCGTTTTACAGGGGTACCGAAAACCCGTTCCTGTTCCCTCAAAGAACTTTCTCCATTCGAGCTAGGATGAAGCTTCTGTTCTTTCCTTCTCTGGGACTTCTTTTCGGGACTGGACAACTCCATGAGGATGTAGTTGCGTTCCTGCCGAGGAAAGCTCTCAAAGCTGTCCTTGGAACAACGCCTTTGAGATTCCTTCTTCACCTCGGATTTATTTTCTTTTTCGGCATCCTTTGACAAGTCTTCTAACTCGATTACTTCCAGAGTGTTCTTCCGCGAATCCTCTTCCTTTCTTGCCTCTTGTTCACCAATGACATTATTTTCTTGTTTCTCTAAATGGAAACTGTTTGCTTCTTCGACTTCATTTACTTTCTGCGCCGTCTTTGCAGAATGTTTCCGCGATTTCCTCTTCTCGTCGAATTTTCTTTCCGTTACTACTTGCTTCGATTCCTTCGATAGAATCATTTTTTGGGAATCGTCCTGCAAGTCTTCACCTCTTGTTCTTTCCTCCAATTTTCTGCTACTTCGATCTCTTTTACCCAAATTGGAATCTTTATCTATCTCCTTATGACTTCTGTCCATTTTTCCAACATTTATAAAATGTGCTCCACCTTCCTTCACTTCCTTTGTCGTTGTCCCCTTCTTGTTACTTCTTTCTACGTTTTCCTCCCCTGACTTTACATTTCCAGTGTGACAGTCATTTCCGTGAACCTTAAGACACTCGTATCCATTTACTGAGCCCCTTTCACTCTCCAAATCACTCTGATAGCCTTTTTTTCTTCTTTCTTCTTCCTCTTTATCCCTACCGTCTTCTGTCTCTAAAAAACAATCCGTTCTCATTTTTTCGTCCCCTTTACTGCTCTTCAGTGTCGTCACCTTTTCCTCCTGCCCACTTGTTGCAGTTTCTCCGAGGCAATCCAAATTCTCCTGTCCAAGCTCCATTTTCATTTTCCAGACCTGTTTCTCATTCTTTTCACCGAGGGGATTTCTTTTAGGAGACCGTTTTACTTCTGCTCGATTCCTAATCTCTTCAACCACAAATATAGGACTATTTGGCCTGCTTAGGATGCCCTTTTTCGGACTCAGATCAGCGTTGTGAATATAAGGCTCTCTTCTGGGACTGTTGCTGACCGACCTGGATACCCATTTAGGTATATCTCCAGCAAGATTAGGGCTACACGGTTGGGAAGAGGATCTTTCACGAAGAACAGGCATCTTGGTGGTCGGAACAACGGGAAGTGGTATTTTTGTTCTAGTCCTGTCGTTCATCAGCGTTTCGTTTTCGTCGCTGTCCGGGGTCCTGAGCTTCACGACTTCTCCCCCAAAATGCACTCTTCTAGGGTTTTTCTTCCGATGTTGGATCTGCTCGGCGACTGAAGTCTCATCTGTGATAACTCCTTTCCGTTCTTCTTCCTCCTCCTTTTGCTCGAGAATGGTCATGGTAATCGCTGTTTCTTCGTTGAACTTGATTTCCGTCTCCAGGACCACTCTAGCCGGAGGCATCGCCACTCTCCGCTCCTCTTCGACGACCCCAGAAGAGTCACTGTCCTCATTTCTAGAATCTTGCTCGTTCCCTGATTTATCGGCGTTATCCTTCTCCTTCTCGTCGTATAAGATTCTTCCTAAATCCAGGTTCGCGTTGAAGGCCTCGCAGAGAACCTCGAAGTCTGTTTTTACTTTGGCATCATAACTATCTACCTACGAGTGGAGTTCCCCAGACTCAATAACATCTCGAATCTTCACCAGTGACGTTAAAGCTGCTTCCTGATGAAGTTATGGCTTCTCTCAGGATTGAGTTCGAAGTGCGAGGACTATTAAACGAGAGGAAGGAAAACGATGAACTGCTGAGGATTGTTTCGGCGGCTACGTTGTCTTGGAACCCGTCCGAAGCACGAGTCGAGTCAGGCCTTTGGTGAGAATCTGCACATTTGGAGAAAATCGAGTTTGTTATGGCTTAGAATTACTTTACAATGAGTCCCAACGATACACACAAAAATATTATGAAGCAATTCAATAATTACTTATAAAACGACAGCAGCAGTCCAAATTCTACAGGCATAATCTCTGCATAGTACTTACAAGGAAGGTACCTGAGGTGTCCCCCTCCGATTTTGTTCATTTTTAAATATGTTATAGAGGACTAAAATCTGAGGGACCCGTGTTTTTTTTTATCGGCGGATAAACACTTTTAGGGGGTGAAATCAGGCTTCAAAGTTGGCCGTGCAAGGGGGTGAGTTGGCTGTTTCATATAGAGGCACTCGACCGATTTTCATGAAACAACCATCAATATGTATGGAATGAAGAATTATGAAACATGCATTTGGAATTTTTCGAAAAAATTCATTTTTAAGGGGTGAGCCACCCCTTTGAATACTTCTTTTACCCCTTACGCGAGCAGTAATAGTTCTATCCTAATGAAACTTTTTTTGTATTGTCCTGGTCTATACATTAACCAAGTTTCATTTGGATAGAGCAATTACTGCTGGCGTAAGGAGTAAAAGAAGTATTCAAAGGGGTGGCTCACCCCTTAAAAATGAATTTTTTCGAAAAATTCCAAATGCATGTTTCATAATTCTTCATTCCCTACATATTGACGGTTGTTTCATGAAAATCGGTCGAGTGCCTCTATATGAAACAGCCAACTCACCCCCTTGCACGGCCAACCTTGAAGCCTAATTTCACCCCCTAAAAGTGTTTATCCGCCGATAAAAAAAAACACGGGTCCCTTAGATTTTAGTCCTCTATAACATATTTAAAAATGAACAAAATCGGAGAGGGACACCTCAGGTACCTTCCTTGTTAGTAATGGGTCTTTATTAGGGATTGTTAGGACGGCAGGGAAAATACCACCGTCGGTCCTTTAGCCTAATACAACGTCAATTGTGACACGCAGGGCCTAGTTATTTCCCTCAAAAAATGCTCATTGTAAGTTTAGATGCGGTACCGACTCACTAGGCACTCGCGGTAGATCTTACTAGTGTCGACGCCCAACAGGTAAACATTCAATATATTTGTCCCGCATAGGACCCCTTGTTAATAGCTATAGTTTTTGGACGATACATTAGCTATTGCGTTCGGCTTAGGCAGGACAAAGACGATCGTCCAAGCCTCAGGCCCAGATTACTGTTTTATGGCCCCCAGACTGCACGATAAGACCCTATCGTACTTCCGCCCCGACTCAATTTGCATGGATTTCCCTTCTTGGGCCTCTTCCGTGACCAATTGATGAGCAGTCCTTACGGAGGGGCGACCAATAACATCATAGATTCCTTCCTCGTCCCTCCCACCAAACGTTCAGAGAATTTTGGCAATAGGGCTGGAAGAGGAAGGAAGCAGTTGCTTTCCGACAACGAACGAAGCTCAATGCTGGAATTAATTAGAGCATAACACGACCGAGGTTTATAATTATATAAATTCTTAGTATATACGCCAGACACGTTTTTCCCTTCGGTCTGAGACCTCAGATAACATTGCAGTAGAATTGACCAAAGAGAGAAGAACAGTAGGGGGTCAATTTGACCCACGTGCGTGCTGTAGGGTTGAAACTCGGCATTCCTTGTACGGTTGTAATTAAGTATAACACATATATAGTTGAAATTAAAGCAGTTTATGTATACATATTTGTTGACACAATGAAAATTTTCTTGGTCTACCCCGACGTGGCAATAAATCCAGGATTTTAAAACTTTCATTCTCATTCATTGATGTCTTATAGAAAATTTGATATGGTTCATTTCTGACAAAACGCATCCAACATATTTTTAACCAGTTTATCGATTCTTCGATAGAATTCTTTACCCTTTTAAAAATTGCGTCTTCTAATAATTTGGTTCATACAAAATCCTCTTGTTTCATTTCATTTAGAATAAAGTTATTGCCTCTCCGGCAATTTTTCGATAATATTATAATAATCTTGGGCAACAAACAGTAAATTATTTCTTTTAATGACATTTTTACCACGCCAAAATCTCTATCATTTGTTAAAAACGAATGTCCCGATATTAAAAATGTATGATCTATGATTTCCACATTATGTTCAACAGTTTGGACAATTTTTAGCCACATTAAAGCTACTTTAACGTTTCTATTTTGTCCTGCACACATGTCACTGCAAGCTATAATGTGTCTTCCACTTCTTAAATTTTGAACATGTTTTAGGATGCATGAAACTATTTCTTGAGCACCTCTTGATGCAATAGTTTCATCTCAAACGTACACGTGAACGTTATCGTTATGAAAATTGTGAATACCCAAATTCAGACCGTACATATAGATTGGATTTAGGCCACTTTCAAAATGATTGTTTTAAGTATTGAACTAACTCTGAAAACTTATGTGTCCAAAATCATCGTATTTACTCGGAATATAATTACCCCCAAATACTTTATTGATAGATAACTTCAAGTTATACATGTAACCTCGGGCAACCGAAAATAATTGACAAATGGACTTAGTCCACTTTCAAAATAAACGGCTCAATTAATAAAAATATATCAACTGCATAGGCCTTAATTCGCAAGTCTTTCTCCGAGCAATAGAATGTATCGTAACACCATACAAAAGTCGGCACCAGAACTAGGCGAACGTTTATCGTTTAATCTGATACGAACCCCTCAACGTTCAAAAGTAGCACAAGCGAAATCACGACCCATATTAGGAGTTCATATAAACTCGAAAAGAAACATTTAATTCCTACAATTAGCCAAGCCCAAACAAAAACATTCATCATATACAATTTAAATACGGTAAATTAATAAATCATAATTTACGTCATTCATATCGCTAATAACTATTAAAATGAATACCCTAGATGCTACGTTGCAGTGAAATCTCCATTGATAGTCCACAGAAATTTTTTCGCTGAAAAATGCTGGTTAAAAAATAGTCTTAAAAAATATAATCGTTTTCAGCGAGCATTTATCGTTTGATCTGATACGAACCCCCAACGTTCAAAAGTAGCACAAGCGAAATCACGACCCATATTAGGAGTTCATATAAACTCGAAAAGAAACATTTAATTCCTACAATTAGCCAAGCTCAAACAAAAACATCGTATACAATTTAAATACGGTAAAGTAATAAATCATAATTTACGTCATTCATATCATTAATAACTATTAAAATTAATACACTACATGCTACGTTGCAGTGAAATCTCCATTGATAGTCCACAGAAATTTTTCCGCTGAAAAATGCTGGTTAAAAAAGAGACTTAAAAAAATATAATCGTTTTCAGTATTTTAATCTATAGATGATTATTATATTTACTAAAGGGTATAAGGAATGAGAAAGGAATTTTAGAGGTCAATGGAATGCGGCAAACAAGGAGGCTTCCAAATCTTACCTGGTGATGGAGGCTGATTTGGAAATGCGAAGAACAATGCTAGGTATCACGAAGAGCCATACGACACCGAGCGATTTACGAACGCATGTTAAAGATTTACTACGATTGGTCCGCGGCCGGTGTCGTAGTTCGCGGATTGGCCGTGGCGTGCCACGCGGATCGGCGTACTCCACTTAAAATACACCAGGGACGACGTGCGTTCAGTCGAGGCTCGCATGTGACTGTCGATCTTCGCGCGGGGTAGTTGCCGCTAATATCGACCGCCCCCACTTCGCGCTTAACATTCCCCTCACTAAAGAACTATACGGCTCGTAATCTCTGCTAGGTATAAAAAAAGGATGGCCACTCGTGTATACCATACAAAACGCGTCAAACGGTTTCACAGTAATCCAAACCTTTTTCTCTACGTTTTTACGTAAAACATTTTTTACGCGAAACATTTTTACGTGAAACATTTTTACGTGAAACATCTTTATGGGAAACATTTTTACGTGAAACATTTTTACGTGAAACATTGTTACGTGAAACATTTTTACGTGAAACATTTTTATGGGAAACATTTTTACGTGAAACATTTTTACGTGAAACATTTTTACGCGAAACATTTTTACGCGAAACATTTTTACGCGAAACATTTTTACGTGAAACATTTTGACGTAAAACATTTTTACTTAAAAAACACCATTAATCGAAAACAAGTTCAGTATCTGATTGTAACCGTAAAAAAAAACAAATAATTTTAACGAGGCCTTATAAATACCCACTGAACACCAAACCTAACAGTTACATAACTTAAAACTAACACATAACATAACGTTTGTTACAATGTAATAACCTAACAATTACATAACATAGAGCTAACTAGTTATATGACATTTGTTATAATGCAGTAACTTAACAGTTATGTGGACAACATGGAGGTAACAGGTTTCATAACATTTGTTACTATCATATCTATATAAATGTAGCGTAACTTCGTTACTCTCATCTTACATTATGTTACTGTCCTGATATTACTGTGTATATGGAGCACATATTTGTAACAAAACCGAACTGCATTGGTGCTGTCATTTATTTTATTACATCATCGACATCGTCATTGTCATAATTCATCGTCAAATGTCATAAGATTAATAAATGTCATATTTTGTTTACTAGTCGCATGAAAAATGTGATTTTAATTCGTACGCGCATATACATTATTAGTAATTGTTTGCTAGTCGAATGAAATCATAATAGTCTATAAGTAAAATCAGATAGTTTATCATTTACATTATTTCGTTGAAAGTCTGACTTGTCATTTAATATCTAACTATTGTCAAGTACCAAGAAATAATTAAAATAATTTTGAATAAAATTGCTTAATCTTTTTTATTAAATGGATGAAAAATTAATATTATTTGAAGGTAACTGAAATTATAACATTAATGTAACATTAATATAACATGTTACATAACATGTTACCTTACCAAGTGGGAAATAATAACTAACATCTAACTTCCATGTTACTTTTATGCTACATAACATGTTAGTTTCGAAAACGTAACATTTACCCAACAGTTATATAACAGTGTTCACTAGGTACTAGCTGAAAGAAATATTTCTATAATAAATGTTTCTGCAAAAGTTTGTTTCATGTTCAACATATAAAAGTAATATAATCACATATTATTTAGTAGGTACATGATAAGTTAAGGTGACATGAAAGCCGCCGAAAAAATGTTATCGACGTCGATGAAAGGAAATTCATCTAGTGGCAACGCCATTTTGGATACCCAATTGATGATATAAATTGGTACGCCACGTTACCGATATTTATATTTCTGCTGAAGTCTGTTACACTCTACATTGAGAGTTATACGAAATTACCTGTTCCATGTGTCATTTCAGTAAAGTAATGATAACGAGATCGATGTAAGACTCTAAATCCCATCGATTCACGAATTTTTATACTCTAATGGACCAACGGCTCCGTCTGTGACTTCCTTGCTCTCTCGCGGATCTTATACCACCCGACGACATTTTAATTTGGAGTCGTTCATCCTCGGGACTTATGGCCCCTTCTTTCCGCGGCTCGCAAGATGGATTGTTAATTTACGACGACCGTAGTTGACAGAAGTAATTGACAGAGGGAAAGGAGGATCGATTCCTCCGCGAGAACTGTTGCCTCGAATCAAGTTTGCCATCTACTCGTAACGTTAACCCTTTGTTGTCCATGCTTTATTCGGACACGTAATTTAAAGACTTGTATTTGTATTTAAAATACAAGTAGAGAATTTAATTCTATCAGTTTTTACGAAACTGGCTATTTCGAGTTATGCGTGTTGTTTAACTTTTTCGAGAGTTGATTCAGTTGATGGATCAAGTATCATCCTGATCGATTCTTTTGTAATATTCTCATTTCTCTGGAAATATTTAATTTTAAATGGAAATAGATTCTCATTGGCTATTAAGGGGATGTTCTACTACCAGAGCCAAAACTTCTTTTAATTACAGTACTTACATATGTCACAAATAAATACTCATAAAAATATTTTAGAGATGAAATATGCATTGAATATTTTATCTTAGTTTATTTGGACAATGTAACCGTATTGCATGCAATTGTATGTCTTTAAATCAATACCCTCGCTTTATTCAAGTAGTGGTTCCTAAGCGAATGTGGCGGCGCCACATCTTTAAAATGTAAGGAAGCAATTTAATTTCATCAGTTTTTGCGAAAGTAGCTACTTCGAGTTATGTGTGCTGTTTAACTTTTTTGAGAGTTGATTCGATTAACAGAGCAAGTCTCATTCTGATCGATTCTTTTCTAATATTCTCATTTCTCTAGAAATATTTAATTTTAAACGGAAATAGATTCAAAATCTATTTCAAATAGGAAATCCAAAATAGTTTATTGCCCAGGTTTGCGTTTATAAAAATCTCGTATAAAATAAGTTTCTTAAATTTACGGGTGCTCATTTACATGCTCATTTAATGATTTGCAGGTATCCATTTATTCGAGGAATACGGAGAAAGGTGTAGAACATAAATACATACGAGACATGAAATTATAATTCCGCTTTTATGTCCCAAAGTGGATGCAATAACAATTTTCCTGCGCCATTTAACTGTATAAATATTAATAAACTATTTTTTTAACCCAAGATAATATTCTAACTTCGTTTCAGTGGATGGAACAATTGAGTCGCAAAAAAACTAATTAACTTTTAATAAAGCATGTTTTAATGCATTGTTTAAGAAATTCTGTAAGTAACCATCTAACAAAAACTACGATAAGTGGATCAGGAACATTTCACAATAATATTTAAATAATTTTCATTAATTGTTTGTGTTTATACACATTTTCTTTAGGAAATCCATTCTGCCTCTTGGGCGATTCAAATTCCGCGCTGCTCTCGCCGCTAGTACGCCGCGCGGCTGGAGAGGGCAGTAGGTCCGCGAGGAAACCATCAATGAATGTCGGTGTACACTTTCTTAGAGTTCTAAATCCAGTAAGTTACGTCAGAAACAAAGAGAAATTCCCGGTAATTTATCGGTAATTTCTCCAAAGCCCTTTTTATCGAGAAATTATGAGAATTTGAATTTTTCAACAGAGCGAACGAGAGGTTTCGATTAGCTATAGAGAAACATCGTAGAGGGGAATTTCCGTTGTACGTTCTTCGTAGCCAATCAAAACCTCCCATTCGCTTCGTCACAGAATGAAATATCAGTTCGTTTGAAAGAAATGGTATGGAATTTTCCGTGAAGTTGTACATACGTGAATATTTTTAGCTGGAGGTAAATACGACCCTATAATCAATATTTTCTAATAGTAATTATTACTCTTTAGGTTAAACTTTGAAGTTGATTGAAAAAAAAAAGTTTTTTAAACGAAGAAACCTAAAGTATAAATAACAAAATTAACGTTCTCTTAAATTCTCAATGTTCCCGGTAACTTACGGTATGTTTCACAGTTACTTTCTCCAATTTAATGTTACCGAGAATTTTCGAACTCTACACTTTCTCTACACTTTCTACCCTCGATCCCGAGCGAGTGCAAGAAGGGTAGTCCGCGAATTTGGCGGCAAATTTCAAAATTGAAAAGATCAACAAACAGGAAAATACAAAATTTATGCTAACATCTCAACGTAATATAAGTAGAAGTAATTATTAGTGCATCTTCTTCATGTATAGAACGATTTAGCGTTTTAGTTTTGTACATAATGTTTGAAACAATTTACAATAATTATGTATTACTACGTAACCGCGGTTGGAATTAACTAAACTATAATTTTTACCTGTTGTAGTTAAATTGCTTTTCATTCCGCTGCAATAACATTCTCACCCTTAGTGATCCTCAACACCTGAAATTCGTGAAAGAAATTTTCATCTTACATTGTTGTACATTCGGACCCTCTCCAGTGTGTCAATATCACACACCGGTGAATGTCAACATTTACCGGTGTAAGTCAGAAATAAGGGTATTTAGCAAATATTTCGGACATACAGTAAGCGACTATGTGAATGTTGACATTCACCGGTGAAAGTCGACATTCTTCAGATTTCGGTGTTTCACTGTACATGGATACAGATGATAAAAAAAAATTGTTTTTCCTCCGTTCCCTCGATTCCATTACATTTCCAAGGTGTTCGGGACTTTGATTTCTTTTCTTTCCACTGATCATGATTATTGCTAGGTGTTATCGGTATAATTAATCTTAATTGCACAGTTATCGTTATTTTCTTTGCTTTATTAACGCTAAAAATTGAATCTCTTGCTACGAGATTTCGATCCCTGGTACAATCGAACTTAGGATACTCCCGGTGAGTTACGATTAACAAGCCTTAAGCCAATCTTCATTATTTATTCGGTCCTTTATTTATGAAATATTTTCCCTCATTGACACGGTGAGTTGCGATTTTACTAGCCTTAAGCCAATCTTCATTATTTATTAGGTCCTTTATTTATGAAATATTTTTCCTCATTGACACGGTGAGTTGCGATTAACCAGCCTTAATCCAATCTTCATTATTTATTAGGTCCTTTATTTATGAAATATTTTTCCTCATTGACACGGTGAGTTGCGATTAACAAGCCTTAAGCCAATCTTCATTATTTATTCGGTCCTTTATTTATGAAATATTTTTCCTCATTGACACGGTGAGTTGCGATTA